ATCCACAATGGTTCTTGGTAGACGGGTGCGCCCCCAGACAAACCGTAGAAACAAGGAGCGTTCGGCATTAGAGAAACTCTCCAATGTTTCCCAGAACCAACGAACCAATGGAGCATTAGCATCCACGCCTTTATACGTCACCACGGACTTTAACAGGTCCAGAGGAATGTCGGGACTGCCGCACACCATTGTCTCCAATTCTGGACCAGTGAACAATGACAGCAGAGGAACCGGAACCACTCGTGCCATGCCTGCTCGAACTGCGGCCACCTAAGCGTACACATAAAGAGGTTAATTGTTTACAAAGGGAAAAAATTTCCTCTGTGAAAGACAAAGAACTCTATATTTTACTCTTGCAGCGTACTTGCATTATCAATTATCTGAGGAGGAAACTCACTTGTCTAAAACTGAACAGGTTATGTTCAACTGCCGTTGGAGATGAAAATGACAAGCGTAGGAGAAACTGCCACAAAGTCAGAGCTCATTGCCGATATCAAAATCATTAAGCATGACAGAGGGAACGCAAAACATGGGGACAAGTTTTGACGCCAATGCGACCGTATAATTGGTTAATTTGTACCTCGCGGTAAAAAATACTATTCTCACATTGGTTGTGTACCCTTGTGCCCCCGTATACTATTAAAAAAGATTGAACTTTTCGTTGTAGCCGTTTTTCATTCTTACAGAACAGAACAGAACAGAACAGAACTTTATTCTACGTGGCACTCCACTTAGCTAAAAGCTACTTCACAGGAAGCCCACAAATAAACATATAAAATTGCGAAAAAAAAAAAAAAGAAAGATAAAACTTAGCTAACACTCTAAAAAATCTAAAAATATCTAAGCAGTCTATATATTTTTGTATCAGTACATGTGTAATTACAAATTAAAATTACAATCTGAAAAAGCTACGTAACTGGAATAATAACAATTTTAAAATGCTACATAACGAATACTTCTTAAAAATTCCCTTGTGCCGGCTATGGCGCGAAAGGAATCCGGCAGCGCATTCCATGTCTTTGCAGCGAAGTACCGAAAAGACCTTAGGCCATGCTTGGTGCTTCTTACTTTGGGCAATGAGAGCATGTTTGTGTCCCTTAAGTTATATTTTGTGTCCCTTACTTTAAGTAGGTTTACAATGGGGTTCGATGCCTGCTCCTGGAAGCAACTGTTTATAGTGATTAACATGTCCTGGATACGGCTTCTCTTTAGTGTGCTGTGCAAACCGATCCAATTTAGCAATTTATCGTAGGAGTTATTCTTATCTTTATATACAAACCTAAGCGCGCGTTCGTTTACTCTCTCCAATTTCTTGGCAACAGCCGCCAAAATTAGATACACTTCCAAGCTCAAGTCGTTATATACACAGAACAACTTACAATCAACTTAAAACTTAATACAAATTAAACTGGTTTCATCTCAATTTTTGTCATATCTTAAAATATTTACACAAGTAACACAAGATCATGGCGTGAGTACAGAAGGAAAGAAAAGGTTTTCAGCGAAAGCAGAGAATTTTTTTAAGAAAACAATTCAGAATTCTATGATATAAATGGAAAGAGACGTCACCTTTCAAATTAAGTACGATACCTGCAGATCAAACTCGTGCAAGCGATAATGGAGAGCGAGTCGGACGTATTCTTCTCTATTGTCCAGCGTGATGCACTTTATCTTGTTATGGAGCTGTGCCTCATGACCACTGGCGCTGGGAGTACTGAATGGCATCTCCATGGCTTCAAAAGCCTCACGCTCCATATCCCGGATGCACATGAGACCTGGCACGTAATCTTTGTCGATTTCAGCCAGGTCTGTCACTCGCAAAGACATCCCTAGGATATAAGAGCTTTTTTGTCACATCACAACCGTAAATACTAGCTGAAGAATAAGAACTAACGGCACTATTGAAGCTTGTAGACAATATTGCTTGCACTTCGTTTCCGGACCAACACTCAAGGTCTTAAAATAATTGAGAGGAATATGCTACCTTTCTATAACATCAAGAAATGGTTAGATATTCTAGTCTTCTCGGATAGGGACGAATAAATGGAGGTCCCGTCTCCAGTAGGGTTAGGGGTAGGAGACGTTAATTTCCCACGCACGAGATTACTGTGTGATGGATGTCCTCCCCTGGGGTGGGATGGGTGGGTTTGTTGGAGCTTAAACCTCGTAGGGGACCTATGTCCTATCGTTTCTGCTCCAGTACTTGGTACAGATCCTTAAATACTCTTTATACTCTAATACTCCAACTCATGAGAGACCGGGAGAATGTATAGCTGGAAAGAAAAAGAGCACTAAAAAACAAAGTATTCTCAAACTCGAATTATAATATCGACGCATTAACAAATTGATAAAGCGATATTAGATTGAGTGTACACCATAAACCGAAGACCAACGCAATCAAAATGGCCAATGATAAGAAAATAAGATACCTTTAGGATCCGATGAGAAAATAAAGTTTATAACAATTAAACTGCCTAAGGCGTGAGAAAAAGGCCAATCATAGGAAATAAGATACCTTTAGGATCCGAAGAGAAAATAAAGTTTATAACAATTAAACTGCCTAAGGCGTGAGAAAATGCAGGCGGCAAGGTCAGGTTTAGCATTTGATTGGTTAAGAGAGTTGCGCAAGTTTTCTGGGACGAAGTTAACGAAGTAAAGCAAAATTAGCGCAATCTCGGATTGCTTTCACTCTTAACTGAAAATTGCATTATATGACGAGAAATCTAAACAATCGTCGCCCAGACGATGATAAATCGAGCTCACGCCAGAATCTCCACGCTGACAAAGAATGCAGTGTACGGCATTAGCTAGAGAGAATGGTTAAGCTCGCCCTAACAACAAAAATATATCCCTTTCTGTTACCCGCTAATTGCTGCCAAACAGGTTCAGCGAGATTCAGACTCAGCGGACTTCCCGTCCGGATGGCAATACCAATTAACACTCCCAGGAACTTGAACATATTTAGATGAACAGAAGTAGTAGCATCTGGATTGAGAATAAAGCAGTCGCGGTTAGCTCCAGATTCTTCCCGTCCGTTCGGCGTCACAATCAACAAGGGGAGCGAGCCATTCTGGAGCTCATCACACATTTCTGCGATGGATTCGGAGTAACCTCCGCCACAGTCATCCACGCTTTCGCCGATAAACTTGACTTTCCATACACGGTGCGGAAGGAACAGGCTGTCAGGACCGAAGTTACTCATTTTCGAACAAGCTTGACCAAATACTGACTTGGAACCGTCTGGACCTGTCAGTCCACCTTTGGAGCGATACTTCTTGATCTGAAGAGAAGACATGTTTCAATAAGAGGTGAGGGCCTTGTATTGAGCATTGTAACTTTACGTCACACGGTGACGCTTACGTCATCTCTAACCGGTTGAGAAAGATCATCTTTCACTTCAATATCCCATCTTCATTTTCTTCATTGTACTAAGGCATCACAGCTATTCAAACCTTCGCAGTACGGGTTTCCCTTACTCATTACTTGAAATGAGTATTGGCCTTTTATTGTCTCGTGAAACGTAATTTTGACTTAAAATCGTTCACCGTTATTGATTCTCAGCTCCCAGTTATTTCTGTAAGCTCGTGAACGCGGTTTTTCACCTAAAATGCCTCAGGAATGTAATGTCTGAATAAATTTTCACAAAATCCTACTTTAAAAGCCGGACCACTTGAAGCCGCCGAAGTGCCTAATGGATGGTTAATGGTTCGACTTCTCATAAAGCAATGAAGGCTACAAAAAAACCCTTACCTGTATCCTGTTGAGTTCTATTACAGGACCATGTTGCCTGTCACGGACCATTGTTGTTTGAACAACTTTCCGAAAAGCAGCCTCCTAGAAATCAAATATTATAATAATTGAAAAGAGGGATCGTTTTACGGTCCTTTTCAAAGGGTACCCATCTTGACAAAAACGGTCCCGTACACAGCCAACATATTACTAACAGGAAATGCTTCTAGTTTTCTGCATAGTCCACATTTACAACTTAAACCCTATCATAAATCAATTGTGAGATTCTGCATTTACAAAGGCAAATGTTGACATACCTTTCCTCCACATAATTTGGCTTTATCAGCTGAGTCGTCAATTTAAATTGGTAAAGAGTTCTAAAGCTGCTTAGAAACTCTTTACGGTGGCCAATTAAGATTAACAACTCAGTTGATAGAACCAAATTAACTTGCTCTACTCCACACCGACGCAGCACCGCAGTTTCTTTAGAAACTCACCCCCTTTATTCATACTCTTAGTCTACCCATGTTTAAGAGCAAACTGGACCCCCTGAATTCTGACAACTAGCGGTTTTGAGCATTAATGGAATATAAAAGAAAGAAAAATAAAACCTATATCTCAGGATAGATTGAGATAAAAAAGCACAAGTGATTCACTGTACCTTCCCAGATGGGATCAGCACACCTCGTAGAGCATCAAGTGCCACCGAGGTTCCTTGACCCATGGGCTCTTTTAAACGGGGCTGAAGATCAAATAAAGCGATGGAAGAACACACAAGCTCGGAGAAGTGATGAAGAAGCATGAGACGATTTCTCAAGGACCCCAAGGGAATATGCTGTAAATGGTTAAATTCCATAGGAACTTCCTTTGGGAGGCGGCCGGCATTAGCGGGCTTCGTAGTTGACCAGGCGATCGTATGAGCAGAACCGCAAGCAACCCGGTTTGTTTGTTTTCCCTACAAGGAGAACAGATGGACGGTAACAAACTACTCCTTGATTTGTTATAATAACTTCCTTACATCTTCTCAGCTAGCAAAATCTAAGAAGAAAAACTAAAAAAAACTGTATAAAAGCCAAGGAAGGGAAATAGGAGGACGAAGTCAACCGCTATTCTCACGTAAGACAATCGTTTTCAAGCTGCAATAAAGAATGGATGAAGCACTCCCTGGAGATTGTGATTCATTTGCTTTTTACTTTCGCGAGAGCCCACCAAAGGGGTAACTGCAGTTCACTAAGTTTATTTTTTTGTTTAGCCTTAAATGTAAAGACACTTTACAGTCGACCTACTTGTAGAGCTGTTACCAAGCGCGGTCTCTGGATGGCATTGGTCGATCCATCTCCTAGCTGTCCTTCGTCATTATCGCCCCAAGTGTAGACTTCTCCTGTGTCCGTGCACGCCACGCAATGCAAGGAGCCCGTTGCTATAGCAACCACTTTCTTGTTTTGCAAGGCTGCTACCCTCTTAGGACGTCTCACGTGATCATCTGAACCGTGTCCAAGGCGGTAGTAGTCACCTTTACCCCTGGGGTATTAAAACATCAAATGTGTCGAAATTCTTCCCCTATCGGAACGGACCATCCACAATTTACCAGGCATAACCCTGGCATTTAAGTGTCTACGACTTTGCCCTGTAGCCTTTCACTCACTTCTAATGAACGAACGGAGATACGCGCTTGTGCTATTTAGCGATCTAGCTTGTTAGAGGAGAATGACGTGAAATGGGTTCCATAAGGCTACCTTAGGTTTGTTACACCATGGAAATATTCAACCACAGAAGCAGCGAATTTCCTGCTCTCTAAATTTTAGGCTGAGATCCTGTAATTAATTTGTATCTTGCCTGGCCGCTTTAAACCGATCAATAAATATATCTTATTAAACGTTTTGTTATGTAATATCGCTGAGTATTTTTACGAGTTGCGCCGTACTTTTAGGAGCCCGTAGGGGCGAGTCAAACTACAAATAACGAGTAAAAATACTTAGCGATGCTAAACAACAAAACTTTTAATGAGAGATTAATTAGTCAACATGACAAATTGTTATTTCAGTGCTGGCGAGTTTCGCGGATATTTATTTACGGGGCGTGCGTGAAAGAAGTATGCCCATTTCTTTGTCGTCTAACCGCTTTTCTTCGTTCAATTTATCTAATAAACTTGGATCAATATTCGCCGGCCAGTCCGACTCTTCGTCGACAGAAAAATAAACTAAAGTGTGCGCCTTTTTTTTCGTTTTCTTAACTTCAATTTAATTCGTCGCTTGCGAGATGCGAGAAAACCTGGGTCTAACCGGTTCGCCGGAGTACAAATACCGCGAGATATTTGTACTCGTTTTGGGCGTTATTGTATTCTACGAAGCATAGTTGGATAATAATTCCTCTTACTGCCCTTGCTACTCTTACCACACTTAAACCTTTGACCATTTGCAATTTGACGGCACTTACCATGTGTAGACAGCACCAGACTTGGTCAGAGCTACAGAGAATTGTGATCCACAATCAACTTTACACACGCCAGCTCGCATCAGCGCCTCTACCTTCATAGGGATCTTACAGCCGTCACTTCCTCCTCGGCCTAGCTTTCCATAATCTCCGTCACCCCAGGACCACACACAATCGTTGTCAGTAAGACACAGTGTCTGCGCATCACCGCTTCCGCATGCTACGTCTATGACACGTTGTCCACGTAACGCTTCCACCAGTTTCGGTAGCAGCTGATCGTCGCTGTCACCATGACCAAGCCGTCCGTAACGTCCCTTGCCCCAGGTGTACAGCTCTCCAGTGGTTGTGATGCAGGCGCTGTGTGAGCCACCGCACGAGATGTCAACGATAGATTTACCACGCAGGGCTTCTATGACTCGAGGGCGATCACATGAACTGTAAAAGTATAATGCATAGAATGAAGACGCTCTTAGATACCTGGAAAAATCTCCTGAACAAAACGAAAAAAAAAAAAACCTCCTGTGATGACGCTTTTTCTGGCGATAAGGTCGACTGGGGACGCTTCATCTGGTGAACAACTGAGCTTAGCTGTGATTGGCTGGTTGGTTGGTCATCTCGATACAAAGTCGTTTCGATAGAAGTCGATTCGATACGTCCACAAAATCGATACAATACATGTAGAAAGTCGCTTTGATACAACTTCAGTCATTTTGATACAAACTAGCGAAGGAGTTATTGGATGTTTGGTTGTCTGGATGATAGGGCTTCCTTATGAATGAGTTTTGAGTTTACAACGGCGAAACTGGGGAACTTATGCTAGGGAGATGCAAAGAACACAGAGATATTCGACTCGCTAATTCATAGATCTAACTTGTTTCAGAGCGACTCAAAACGGGCACCACCTATTGTGGAGCGAAGTTAAGTTTATTGATAGCGCTTCTCAAAGAAGAGTTCATCAAACGGCGCCTATCCCGATTGTTCAATACCAGCCTCGCACAGCTGAGTACAATGATTAATAGGATGAAGCATATCGCGTAGAACCTTATCGCCTGAAGAATACTTAAATTCGAAACGTCGCGATCTACATCGTGAGTGAATAGATCGTGAGGCAAACGATTATTTAAGCAATAGACCGCACTTTCTATCGGTTGCCGGTGTAATAAGCTACGTAGGATGTTGGGAGCACAAGAAAAAAAGGTGGTGAACCACAAACTGAATACAAGTGATTTACAAACTTTTCTCTGGTTCTTCTGATATCCAAGCGGATTACTACGCCGGTAAACCGATAGAAAGGGCGTATGTATGGGTTTACTTGCGCAACAAACGATAGGTTGTGCATCAATCAGGTTACTCGCTCTATCTCAGTTATTTCGTGAACTTCACCAGTGCATTCGCCCCACACGCTACTTTTTCCTAACGACCCTCACTTGAGCATGTTTTTTATTTCAAGAGAAATACTCACTTCCTGTTTCCATGTCCAAGTTTTCCGTCGTCCCCTTCTCCCCACGAGTACACGTCACCCTCCAAGGAAAGAACCATTGCGTGTTTCCCCCCAGAATGCACAGCAATCTTTTTGATGGCCACGTGCTGGAGTGATTCGATGAGTCGCACTGACGTCACTGTTTCTGTTCCACCGAGGCCAAGACGCCCACCATGACCGTATCCTGTGGCATAAACCTGCACAAATCCAAATGATATCAAAAAATAACTACCAGCAGTTTCTCTGTCTCTTGAATTTTATGCAGCAGTCCTGATAGGGCGTGCTGGTACAGAACCGCGCAATTCTGCCAAACCCGAACAATAACACAATAGCATAAAATCTTGGAAATCTGGCGAAAAACTAAAAATTAATATGCAACATTTTTCACAGTACTTTTACAGATTATTACAGATTTCTAGTTCTCAGACCGAACGGGGAACGAAAGAACAATGAAAAGCAAAGCGAAGGCGAAAGTGCAGAAACAAAGAATCATCATCAAACCTTTCCCTCTGCTGTCACAGCAAACAGAGTCTGTTCACCTCCAACAATCTGCACAGGTCGGATGGCACTGAGTGCTTCACATGGCTGTGGGAACTTGACTTTGCCACCTTCAATACCACCTAGCTGTCCGCGGTGGTTATGACCCCAACCGTAAATAGTTCCACTACCGCCCCATGTAACCGTCCAATCAGATGGTCGTCTGATTTACAAGTAAACAAATCAAAGAAAAATTTGGATACGAGGCGAAAACTTCCACAAGAACAAAAAAGAAAACACCCCCAAGGCAACAATCGACTTTACTGACGAATCTGTGGTATCTAAAAAGCTTCATTCAAAGGTATGCGTATTTTTCCAGAACAGGAAGAAATACCTCGTAGCGGCAGATTACTTAGCTTTTTACAAATAGTACTTTTAAAAACGAAAAATTTAAAGGGTCTAGTTCCTAGTAACGTGCGTGACCAAAAAAAAAAAAACTGTGGGGCCTGGAACTTCTCAAGTACTAGCGCTAAACGGAATCTGCCACGGCTGCTAAGTGCAAAGAAACAAAGAAACAAAAACGGAACTTTAGAAGCGAGGTTGGCCAAAAAGGCCTTAAATTGGATTTCAAAATCTTTTGGAGGTTCAACCCACTATGACGGAGATTTGACCTCGTATTTTGTCGCCGCGAGAGCGGTTGGAGAGGTGACAAAAAAAAAAAAACAAAAAAAAATACAGTAGTTTGGAACACAATTTCGGGCGGGAAAACGAGTTTTGCACCCAACCTTCTCATACAAAATCTACACTTACATCGGATCAAGGTCGGAATCTGAGCACCTATACACCTACTCCTCCCCTGACCTGACATTTGCCCGACTGACTTGTTATCAGTTGACAGTTGTTGGATCAGGGGAGGGGTGGATGCGCCGTTGCTAAGATATTGACATTAATCCATTGCATGAATGAAACACACTCACTGATTGAGCCAGAGGAGTAACTGTTCGTCATGTTCCTTTTTGAACACCTTGTGATCATGGTACTCTACTGTACAATCTTGAGTTTCTAGCACCATTTCTGTTATTTTCTCCCTCACTTCCGTCAAGAAGTCATACGGTAAAGGCGACCTGGATTCTAATGACGACGCAACCCGTGACGCCATACAAAAGCGTCGGAACCAGGCCCACTCGTGCCCATCGGCGCAACATGGTAAAAAGTCCAGAGCAAGGTCACACGCAAAGGCCACAAGAACCTACGATTGACCAAACAATAAACAAATGGACTACTAACTAAATGAGAAAGACGATTTAAAATAATAATAATAGTAATAATAGTAATAATAATAATAATAATAACAATAATAATAATAATAATAATAATAATAACAACAACAACATTAAAAACACTATGAAAACATGAAAAAAGGAACAACGAAACAGAAGGGAAAGAAAAAAAACAAAATATGAGAATTAGCGTGTATTCAATTCTAGTCTTCTCCCAGTCAGCTAATCGAACCCATACACCACTTTCATAAATGGCTGCCGGATTGATATTCTTTTGTTTAAATTCAAATTAGCCTCACTAGCCTCGCTTGCGATAATGTATTCTTTGAACTGGAGAACGAGGCCAGAAAGGCTAATTTAAATTTACACAAAAGAATATCAATCCGGCAGCCATTTAGGAAAGTGGTCAATTTTTTTAGCTTTGCGTCCTTTGCTTTTTGTCCTCTTCCTTAACCCTAACACCCTAACATCAACATGCACATTCTACATCAGGTGCTGACGGGGAAAATTTGAATGACATTCAAGAGCTTCTTCAGTTGGTGATAAATTCCTTTTATTCTCGTGACCTTAATGCAAGATTCAGGAATGATATTGTAAGTAGAAAGTTTATGCTAGTCCCTCTAAGGGACTAGCATAAAATAGTTAATAATGCGTTTTATTCCATAAGAAATTGGTTAAAAAAGAACCGTATGTGACCCAACCTCTTTTATGTAAACCCAGTGCGGAAATATTTAATGCCGGACATTTTGTTTTCTGGGCATTATACATGTATACCATTATAACTGCACCAACTCTTTAAGTGGAACAACAATCACCGCACCTGCAATGCATTACTCACTTTAAAGAAGTCGCTGTGAAAAAGGTGCTTTCCTCCGCGCACAAGCGGTTCTTCGTATTCATACTGTCTTCTTAAAGTGTCTGGAAGACCTCGAACAAGCTTTCCTAAAGCCGACGAGGCAATTCCCTGAGAAGAAAAAGAGATGACTATTTAACAATTGGTTCATGCTTTAGCCTGCACTATCGAGTTATGGAGCACGCGGGGAGTTTGGAGAGCACAAAAGAAGCGTAAGAGTTGCCCGAGGCAATAACCGAGGGCAACTCTAGCTTCTTGAGNTAGCCACGTGCTCCATAACTCGATAGTGCACAGCTGAAAGCATGAACCAATTGTTTTAGAACATAGCCGGTGGAATTGTGCATCAAATCCGACGCGAAAAACGGACAAAAATATCAGTTGAAGCGAATCGTTACGGTGCTGATGCCGAGTCTCCTTTTCCGTTGTTTTTCTCTTTTTCTGCCTCATTTAAGAACTCTAGCCCAAGGGAAAAGGTCGAAACATCGTCTTCGTTTTCGGACTAGTAGGCCGAGTTTCTGTTTGTATCCATTATTGTCGCGAAATATATTATTTTTTCCCCGCGCTAACAATGGCCGCGCGCGGAAAGAAAAATTTCTAGCGAAGTCGGATTTGCTGACGCTATCAGCGTGCACTATCGGGATTTTGAGCACGCTTATGTACAATGAATTTGATTGCGCGACTCTGCTAGCTATGTTCTAATTGAATGCAGCAGTTTCATTATCTCCTTTCCGACGGTCTGTGGTTCAAGTCAACCGCTTTGAGGATTACTCCTTGACAAACTCACACTCTGAGTTTCACTTAAAAACGCACGAATAATTCACGCAAATCACTAAAACACAACCTAACTTTAGAAGCTGTCCAAGTACAATTCTAGAAAATTAATACACCAATCTGGATCGAATCTGCAAACAAATCTAATGTGAATTCCTATGAACAAAAGGAAAGCTTACCGCGCCCATTCGCTGGTTACCAGTATTCTTCATTTGAACAATAGGTTGGTCGTACATCAGATTGTAACCAAAGAGGGCGGGAACATCAATGACCGGACCTACTTCTGACGTCAGAAGTCTTCTTAAGCGATGCAGAGCCCACGTTCTTTGACCGGCAGAGAGAGTGTTCAGCTGAGCGCATGCGGATAACGATGCGGCCAGGCGAGGGATTTGAGCTTTTTCACCAAGTGTTTCTAGTTTGAAGTCTGAGAATAGTTAAACAGGAATAAAAAAAAAAAAGAAAAAAAAAGCCGCTTCCTGTGACAAAATACTAAAAATCCGTCCGTTAGTTCGTCTGTCTGTCAGGCCGTCTGTCTGTCTGTCAGTCTGTCTTTCCATCAGTCTGTCCCTTTGTCTGTCTCACTGCCTGCTTGTAAGTCAACAAAACAGTTAAACGTCTTTTGGGGAAGGGTACGGTGAGGCTAGATAGGGTGCTACCTCACCACTGTCTAACAAAACTAACTATAACTATGTATTCTTTCCTTACCCAGGAGACAGCGCACCAAGTCTATAGACGGTCTAGACTGTAGCGCTCTGTCTGATAACACGTCACAAGGCGCTGCGGCCGGGGGGATTGGGTACACCGTAAACCTCCAGCCCCATCCATTCACAGAGCTGTCACTCATAAATTTCCAACGGAGCTCGTCGCCACTCATGCGTAACTCACTCGACCAATCAGACCACTCGCGTCCAGAACGAACCGAGACTACCCGACCAGTACTATCCATGATGGTCAAGGGATCATGCCTACCGCAAGACAAAAATCAATACTAACTATAAAGCCAACATAATAAATAAATACTAATAAATCAATGCATTAATAAGTAATACAAAAGTTTCGTTGGTTTTGCGTTTTATCCATTGAGATAGAAGCATTTGATCCAGGTAACATCAATTGTGTAAAATTGTGAATAAAACTATTGTTTTAAAAGACAAAACAGCAAAAACAATGCACAGAAGAATTGCGGTGCTTACGCGTTGCCAGCCTAATAAAATTTTCAGGCGCAACAAAAGTTTGGCGAGCTAGTTTTGACATTAAAATCATGTTGTTGTCACGGACAACTGGCTTGGTTTCCAGTGGCAACGTGCCGTTTAACTTCTTTTGGCTGATTTCCACGTTTGACGGTTGGTGACATACGGCTTTTGAGATTCGGTTACCATTGAAAACGAGAAAGGTTGCCCATGACAACAGTAATTTTACGGTCAAAGGCCCGTCACCAAACTTTTTCCGCGCTTCACCCCACTATTCGGACTAAAATTGTTTGAATGAGTGCAAGCAAGAAAGTTATGACGCTTCCACACAATTTGTTACACACAGATCCCGTAGCATATCACGAAACTGTTAAAGAGGAATATTACTGTGCCTCAATCAACATTTCCTTTACATCACTGCCAAATGAGTGCGAAAAATCGACCCAGCAGCAGCAGCAGTCCTGCATTAACACCACAACCCACCTTCTCTCTGTAGAACACTGTTTGTCAAACTCCACCCTAAGGCCCTCTGCTCCTGGTATCTTGACCACTCCTGTGGTATTAGTATCGTCAGTATACGGATGACTACTCTCTTGTAACACCGGTTGGAAGCCACTGTGGACACTGCTGTTGTCCGTAGCTACGTCTTCGAGTTCAGAGATACATAGCTCCAGAAGCGTGGACGCTATCTATACGGAAAAATACCTCTTGGTTTAAATACGAGTTCGTTATTTTTCACATTCATTATTATTATCAGTTTATAAGCACCATAATTATCATTGACATCTTACATATTATTATCATCATTGTTACCATTACCATCATTATTATTCTCTTTATCATATAAGGGGCAAAATTACTGAATTGTGATTGGTCAAAAAAGAGGGGATTTTTTTCTTAATTTTTGAAATTGCCCCGGGCAAAATTACTTGAAAATGATTGGCTGTAAATCGCTTAGCAAAAGCTGCCAAGGTAAAGAAATTTCTGTTTGTTTTGTAACAATGGCGTCCCGTTTTGCGCGAGATCAGTAAGAAAACATTTTGCCCCTTATATTATACACAAGTAATCACATGGTTCCTCGTAAAATTAAGGATTAATGTCACTTGTGTTTTCGGAAGTTGCAGAAATTGCGCTCGTCGATGCGCGACTCGGGCAATTTCAGCAACTTCCGAAAACACGCGTGATATTAATCCTTAATTTTACTCGGCCCCATGCGATTACCTATACTTATCATCAGCATCATTTCATTGGCATCCTAATAAACATAATCGTCAAAAATATCATTAACAATATCATCATTACTATTTTCAGCACTATTATTATCATTATCACCCCATTTATCATCATTACCATTACCATTACTATTTTTAACTATCATAATAATAATTATCATCCTAATAATCATTGTCATCATAACTATCATTAGTATTATTATCAGTTCATTATCAATAGCATTATCCTTGTTATTATTATCCTCATTGTCCTTTATACAAATATCCACCTGTAAAAAAGTTATTTAAAAAAGATGCAATTCAACTTCACTAAAAATGTTTTGAGCGCTTATGTATTCTTTTTACTTGTAACACTCACAATTATGCAAGCTTACTTGTGGTTTTCTGCTTCAGCCAACTACTTGCTAGACGCATACATCGTTTTCAAATCAACTTCTTGTCAAAACTAATGCCTACTAACTTTAGATTGTCAACGTTGAGGCCAGTGCGTTACTAACGAGTAAAGTGAATTAATCAACACTTACTTCTGGTTTGGTTTGAGCCAACACTCTAAGCACCCCTGACAACACTTCCTTGCCATTTTCACCAGCTCTATCTGCAACAGCAAGCTTCAGCAGCTCCACAAGAAGTCGGGAGTCATCATGTCCCAAACTGCTAGTGAATTCACCAATATCTTCGATAAAAGACGTTCGAGAAACACTTCCACTTGCTGCTTCAGGCAACGCAACGTCGTCGATAGATACTTCCGAAACGGAAGCCAGGGATACCGCTTCTTCATCTTCCGCCTCTACCGACGTGGTGTTCCCACGAATAAGAGAACGAGGATCCAAAAGGGCCCGTATCACCGCATCACGTGAGTAAATTATTTGGAGAGCAGTTAAGATGTGGCCTAAAGCTTGCTGTCGTTCATAATTTGAATTGAGTGAAAGCACGATTTTTGCTAAAGAAGGTCTATGCCTGTGCTCCCCGTACTCGTTACTTTCGGCTTCTGCGGAAATACTCTGCTCCTGAGATTCTGGACCAATATTTGACGCCCCCAGTGGATCACGGGATGCGGGGAACATCACAGGTTCGTGCGCTACTGGTGCCGGGAAGTCCGATTCGGCCCAGGCCATGCTGTGCGAGGAGCCACAAGCTACACGAGTAATTTTGAATTCTTCCAGACCCTGAACTAACTGAGGGCGGCGATTGACTGTGGTAGTGCCATTACCCTGTTGGCCATGGTCGTTGTCCCCCCAAGCGAAAACCTTGAGATCGGTGAAAAAAAGAGATGAAATTAAAAACAAACCACATAGAAGATGCCTGCTTGATAACAAAGGAAATTCGAATTTCCAACCAATCTTTGTCCTACCTTGCCTTTCTCCGTCACGGCTAAGCAATGTAACGCTCCTACAGCTACATCTACCACTTTGTGACCTTTGAGTCCCTCGACAACCTGAGGCTTCCGAATATGAGAGTCATTCCCGTGCCCCAGGCGAAAATAGTCTCCTTTACCCCTGAAATACCGCAGAATAACGCATCATTGAGCATCTCTCGGCAACAAGTGTTAAATTGAACGGTAGAAACCGTAAAGTAAGCGGTTGATGGAAGTTTTTACTCTGTTACTAGTTTCTGAGAAAGAAATCGGCGATTTCACTTGACACATATGGATAATTTGGCCGTTTGTCAGTTCTTACGGAAACACCAAAGTTATAATAAACTAGCTTTCGCTTTGGGCACAGTGAGGAAATCATTTGACATAAAGAAATGTATTGCCGGTTTTCACTGTCCCACCATTATCAAACCATTAAACAAATAAAGTAAAGAATCAAAGAGATAAAATAATATGAATATTGAAATAGTCTCGCAAAGATTCAGGTCTGTGCGATGTTTTGTGTGGGGAGATACTCGAAGAAATGTTTCCCTCAAATTTATAAGGTTTTCTATGCTATGTTGGTGTCCCTCCGAGGGGCACCAATACGGCGGCTGGAAGCCAACAAAAACATATGTCATTGAGTTCTGCTATAAAAAGCCTGCAGTCGTCTTCTGAGGGCTCATAAACATCTATA